GGGGGGGACCCGCGCAGAGCAAATCACTCGGGGTTTGTTTTGGGTTCCGCGGCGACGACAACATAGAGCGGTGAGCGGCGCTGTGCCGAGGCTCTCTCTGCCGCCCCTCTCTGATGACGCCCGACTCTTTTTTACGAGCCCCCACGGCCACCCCGTGCTCGTTGTAGAAAAATATTATCTCAAGAAAATGTTGTTGAAAGCATCGCGGAGGAGCTGTGCAGAAGACGCGCGTCGTGTGCAGTGCCTTCTATCGTAAAGCTGCTAAAAGGCCCGACTGACGCGGGTTGTTATTGGAGGTGAATGCGCTCGTCTCTACGGTTGGACGTCACGCCCGGGTCCTCCGTCTCAAAGCGGGAGGTATATAACGACGATTCGCACATTTTGAAGGGGCATCAAAGCTGCGGATTTTCATCTTTTGTTGCTGTGGCTAGACTGTGCCGAATTAGAGGTATTCCGTGCGCGGGCGCGGGCTGACCGAAGAAAGGGCTGCTCCGCTCAGGGAGGGCGCCGGGCGGGTAGGCAACCGGCTCGCGCGGCTGCAGCGCGGCACAGCCTAACCGCGCCCGGCCCGCCCCACCTCGCACTCTCCACTCCAGTAGCGTGAGATAACTACACTCGCACCTCATCGCCGAACCTAACGAGAACAACGGGGCCGGGTTGCGACGGCTCGGGCCTCGGGCCGCCGCTATAGCTGCTGCCTGCTGCTGCCTGCTGCTGCCCCGCCGGCCCGGCCGCTGGCTGCAGCGGGGTGCAGACTGTAATGGGAAAGGGTTGGCACCGCGCCAGTCTCCAGTATTTATAACGCCCCCCTCCCGCTCACCCGCTCCTCGCCGCTCCCTCTCGCTCGCTCCAATGCTCCCGCCGCCGCTCCCTCTCGCTCTCCGTCTCCCGCCCCGCGGCGGCCCCAGCGCGACCCAAGCACAAGCGCCCCTCTCCTTTCACCTCGCGCCCTTCTCCAACCCCTTTCCTTCCATCTCTTGCTATTTTATTTTGACCATCATCTCCGCATCCAGTTGGCAGAAAATTAATAAGTAGCAATGAATGACAAATGTCTCGTCGTCGCGGAAGAGCAAGACGGGCAGCATCACCCATCGTGAGGCTGGGGGCTGTAGTGGACGGGGTACATCACACAAAGATACGGATAGTGGCAAATCGTTCGCACGCGATGCCGCTTTGCACACGGCTACTTATGGCCCAAATAAAGGATTTGACCCGCAGAGGCAACAAAAATTTCCCTTAGGGAAAATTTTACAGGCCTTCAAAATTACCATTGCGCCTTACGGGAGGTCCGGGTAGGCAACCCGTCGCACACGCACCGCGTTTTGGCGCCTTCGGCGCCTTTAATAGCCAATATCTCGGCCAAAAATGCATATTTTTGGATAGACTTTTTTTTCATTTGAAAGAGGATGTTTCAAGGAACATTTCTAGCTGCCGAACGCGACTCTAAGTATCATAGATCGGACGGGAAGTGGAGCCAAAGATGAAATATCGTGCTAAACGACATAGTTGCGTTCAAGGGCCCTGGAACCACCCTGCAATGGCACCTGGACTCGTAAACAGTGTTGGATCGGGAGTAGAAAAGCCTGGGGAACACGCTCATGCCAAAATATTTGCGATTGCTGCGGCAGAACATCGAGTAATTGATGTTCAAAGTGACAGAAACGGCCGCCAGGCTCCCGCCGGCCGGGCGGCCCGGTAGCGGCCGCGGTACGCCAAAGCAAAACTGCAAATTGTGATGAAAGCAAGGCACTTCGCGTGCTTGTTGTCTGGACCCATCAGAACAGTTTTGCCCGAAGCTCTCGAAGTTTCATCCCTTAGGATTGGACTTTAGGGGTGGTTTTTCCCCCCACCCCCTAAAATTCAAATTTCTGTGTCTTGGTCGATGTTTGCGATGTCAGTGTCAGTTTCTACTACTTTTGGGGTGCTGATTCCAAATGTGTGATTGGTTTCCCCCAAAAAATATTTCTGACACATTTTGAACCACAAATGTCCATTATTTTGACAAAAAGTGCACTTTTTACTAATTTTTTACTACATTGACCACAGTCATGAGTGGTGTCGTTCCCGACTAAGTTTGGGGTAAGGTAACTGAATTTTCAACCGCCACATCTGTACGGAGTACCATTTTCGATTTTTAGGGGATAGGGGGAGGGGGAAATTCTTTCAAAATATTAAAACTGGTATAATTTTCGACCGAGGGGGCAATAACTCCGCGAATCATGTGTACACCTGTCTGGGAATCATCAGGTTAAAATTTGATCAAAATCAATAGAAATCGCTTAGAATAAGCGGAAAACTAGAGAAATAAGTACAAATCAGTCGAAATAAGCGTTTTATACCACTTGAACCCCCAGAAAAACCTATGTAATAATTATAAGCGGACGGACGGGAATCACCGGGAATCAAGAATTTCGGGAATCATGTGTACACTTCAAAAGGGAGCTATTGCCCCCTCGTTTTCGACAAATATGAACCAGGAATAAACGTATCTGATGTCTAATTTAAGGTAGAATGACGCAGACGGTGATAGACGATAGTTTGCTATGCTTTTAATTGGCGTGTTTTTAACGTAATTTAGGCAAAAGCCTTGGGGCGGGAAGGGGAGGGGGGCTAAACAAGGTAGGGTGGGGTTACTTGAGTCACTTTTCTTTTCTCCCTTACCACACCTAAATGGTGACCCCGAGGTAACTGATAGGTTTTGTAAGGTGCCGTCATGAGCCATGGACCTTTTGCACAATCCTTGTAAAACACTAATGTATATATTTCTAGATATTTTCTCCATGTTTTGAAAAAAAATCTCCCTCCTCTTTCCCCCACCCCCCTAAAAATCGAAAATGGTTCTCCGTACAGATGTGGCAGTTGAAAATTCCGTTTCCTTACCCCAAAATTAGGCGGAAACGAAATCGCACATGACTTTGGTCGAAAAATAGTAAAAAGTGCACTTTTCGGCAAAATAATGGACATTTGTGGTTCAAAATGTGTCAGAAATATTTTTGGGGAAAACCAATGACACATTTGGA